TAATAGTGCAAACTGATTTTTTGTCTCCTAGGTCTTACTGAGATGGATGCTAATACTGGTACTGCCTTTTTTTCCTGTATGAATTGAAAATGACTATGCTAATACATTATCTCTACAAAGGGCAGTCATAAATAGGAAGAGCAAATATTTTGAAATGAATATTTAATGGGCATTCTCCTATAGAGGTGATGCATTGTTGGAAATGCCTCCCTTGGAAATCTTTGTGAGCCAAAGTCTTGCAATTGCCCTGTCCTGGATACCAGTGAGGGACAGCTCTCCTCTCATGATTGAAATGGTGGCTCCAGAAAACAATGGCAGATTAATTTACGTATCCCCCAAACTTTACAGTTGGCCTTCACTCCCAGTTCTACAAAATACAAAAAACCTTTCGTGTAGAAGGATGTCATGTCACATGTATATTGTTATTGTAACTATGGGAACCAAAAAATGCCACCAGTGTGTCTGTTTCATACACAAATGAGGGGACAGCTGTGGAGTCCACATGTCTGCCAGGGGTATAATAGATGTGAGGTAGGATGGCCTGGCTCAGAAAATTACAACTCATTTATATTAATCAGAGCTTTCAAATAGCATTCCAAACCCTTGGCCATAAGGAGTGTAAACGGAAGGCAATAAGCCACTGTAAAAGCAGTTTCATTCCATAGCTTTCAAATCCAAGTGTGGTTAAGTCGATGCAGCAGCGTCTCAAGTCCAAGTTGACAGAACTTGGTTGTGTAGCACTGAAAGCTGAAGCTTAGTTTCTTTGCATGTCAGGTATGATTTTTAGTCCAGTAAGTGTAATAGTTCCATCCAGGTTAAATGTTTGTTCGTTATGTTATGGAAGCACAGCTGCCACAAACCCTTTAGCAGTTTCACTGAGAAAGTTAGTCCTCTCAGCTCTATCCACACAACACTATCCTGTTACAAAAGAGAAAACTTCAGGCTGGCAGGGTTATGAAACATCTAAGATAAGCCAGCTAGCACTAGATAGTAGCTTCCTTATCAACCAATGAGTAATATTGCTAATAATATCCTACCTTTGCTAGACCTTTTGAAAATATCCAAAAGGTAAAAAATAAAATAATATGTAACCCAAATGTTTCTCTTTAAAAAGTGTAACATAAAATAGCATATATTTTAATTGTTGAATAATATGCATAACAGTTCTATAGGTGCCATTGGTCCAGAAATACACACTATATTTTTTCTTACATATTGTAAATGCAATGTCAACTATTTATTATGCATTTGTCTATGTTTTAAGACTTAGAGGTCATACCCTGTAATATATCTATAAAGTAGGCAGATGGTAATATGCTAAAATAAAAAATTTAGAAAGCAAACGTTGGTTAAGATTTCTAGAGCGAATGATTCCCTTGGATAGTAACTTTTGAATTGTATAGATAGGATTTTTGTCTCCATTCTATAGTTTAAGGCAAAAATAAGAGAGGATACATGTTTTCCCGACTTCATCTATATAATTATATTCTCACCCTGAATAAAATATTAATCAAAGCTCTATTCATGAGTCAAAGAAACTTCCATTGTTCCCAGAAGCCAAAATATGATTCTAAAATGGAATTTGCTTTATCTCCTGACTGGCTTAACCCCAAATAGATATTCAGCATAATAATTTTGAGAAATTAAATATAATATTTAAGTAACCTTACATTAGTGTTCAAGTGAATCATTCAAAGAACTATTATTTTGTAGCTGAAAATAAATTTTAAGAAAGCATTATGAAAGTTTAGTAAAAAGTGACATGCAGATCCTATAATTTACTATATTTATTTATGGTACATGGCTTATTTATGGTGGCATAAAAAGCCCACCATTCTATGTATTTATAGTCATACCCAACTAACTTGGAAAGTAGCAATAGAACTCTACAGAGACAGATTTTCTTTACGTACCTACCAGTTTTTTCCCATGAGTGTCACTGCTTTAGGATATGTGGTAATTGCTCCAGCAGTTCAGGTCAAGAAACTAGCCTTTAGCAGGGCCTAACTGGAGAGAGATCAATGGCTGAGTTTTCCAGATACTATGCAGAGCTACATGTATTATCGTTCAGGGCCACAGTCTGCAGTTAGATCTGGTCTATGATTTTATTTAGCACAGTGATTTCTCAAAACAATAAGTACTTTATTACTTTTATTTACCAAGGAATGCGCTCTAATCTTCCGTTATAAGAATTGCAGAATAAAGATTTCACATAGGCAGGATAATAACCAGAGTTTTCACAAATGTGAGGCTGTGGTTATTTTAAAGTTAGCTAGTTTGTTTCAACAATACCTAGATACAGGACAGTAAAATGGTTTATAGCCTGGTTTAGAAAAGTCAATTATTTTATAGTTAACCCTTAAGTCCATAATGAGGACAGAATCTCAGGTTTCTATCATGTTAGTGTTTATTATAATGATTTGTTACTTTCTGACTTCTTGATAGCTTTAAGACACCAAATGTAATTTTGGCTACCACATTTTCGTACTTAAACTTGACTCAATTCACGTCTCCCCTCCTGGAAAAATACTGCCTTATGTGTAAAAGTCACTGAACCGCAAAAATAACTTAAAGGAAACACATAAAATAGCAGACTAACATCTGTTGTGCACCCCTCCCCTGCAAACACTAAGAGCACAAAACAATGTTGTCTTTTGAGGGGGGGCGGTATTTTAATGTCCCTTTCAGTGAATATATAGAAGACAGGGGCAAGCACTGTCTAGTGAATAGGTTCTTTTTCCCTTCAACAGTATTTCAGACTGACAAAAGAAGAGGCCAAGGGGGCTGGCTTGTCAGTAGGTATAATCCCAGGGCTCACGTGCAGCCCACACCACCGGCCTTTTGTTTGGTGGTCACACTTCTCCAGGAGGTAAGCTGTGCAGTGGTCCGATTAGCTAATGTTAGACAAAGCAAAATTTCCCTAGTTTGGGGTCCAATGCATGACTGCCTCCCATTCATTGTTTGGTCCTCTGACCCGAAAACCTCTCATGATGGTTTCATTATCTTCAGTTCTGCAAGTTTGATGCCTTAACAACTAAAATAATTTTGATTGAACAGTAAATATTCTTCACATCAGTCCACTGCAGCTCTTTTTCCCATTTGTCTATCTCTGAGGATGGAGAGCAAATGTGAGCAGGGGGTAAAATTACAAAAAGAAAAAGAAAAACTCTTAAAGTTAAAAGGTCAATTCAATAATCACCTCAAACCACCAGAAGTGGATTAAAGTTACTGCCTGTTTCATATAAACATTTTCCTCACTATCCAGCTCAGAACATCCAGCTTGAATGTTGCACAAAAATACTCCGCCAGGTAAAGAGCAAGTAGTACTTTGAGCTTTCAACACAATAGCACTCAGAGAATTTGGCTCTTGAATAAAGGTGTCAGCAAGCCATGGAATTCCTAAACAGAAAAACTCACACTGCGCCTTTATTCCATTTTCTTAAGGTCTATTGTTAACTAAAGACTCCTTGTCTTTTCAAATTCCTTCAATGTGAATGGATGAGGCCAGACATCTGCCAGGATTCGCTCACATTTGCATGCAAATCAGAGACTTTGGGACACACATGGCCAAGGAACCAACAACACCACTTTTACTCTAGACTTATACTGATCAAAGTGTCTTCCTTAACTTTGAACATCTCTAGTCCCAGCTCTTAAAAAAAGAAGTAATGAGCACATATTATATTATTTAGACCGTGGCAGCAAAGCATACTGCAAAACAGAACAACATATTGTCTTTCAGAAAATTCTACAAGCAAAAGCCCAAATCAGCAATACCTGTTCCCTCACTTAACCCGGCTTTTCCTTTATTATGTAGGTCTGGAAATGAAAATGCTAACGGTGATATAAGATTTAGGGAAGGATCCATTTTCTTGGACTCTTGGTCTTTGCCTGTGTAGTTCAAGTGTGTAGTTCAAAAGCCTCAAAACTATTCACACCCTGCCATTCATTAGTTCATTCGTTCATTCATTCACTCATTCCCAGGCACTGTACTTGGCCCTGGGTCTACAGCGGTGAACCCAACAGACAAGATTCCCCTCTCCCAGCTCAGCTACCACCGCCGAGTGTCCCACTCCGCGTAGGTACCTCGACTCCTTCGGAAGGGCCCCGGGACGGGTTTTCCACCAGTCCTGGGTGCGTGGCTCCGCTCCCGTGGTGGGATCTTTCTACACCACCCCAGCCTGCCAAGGCAGGGAAGCTGCCGCGGGAGGCGGTCGCGACAGGGTCCCGGGGAACGCCGAGTCAGGGGCTGCCCACACCCCTCTCCACACAGCACAAAGGACACTCGCTGGCAAACTTTCCTTGTTCCGACCCCGGCCGAGCGGGGAACTCAGCACCGGCTCGGTTCCCGGAGCAGACGGAGGCTTCCCTGACATTTCGGCATCCCTGGCAAAGCCTCCTGAGTTAATTCTTCCGAATGCTCTTTCATTACTCTCAACGCTTTGTGAATTGCATTCCTTGACCCTTTCTTTATCGCCAAGACTACCGCCAAGAAATCCCTCCTCTTACCTCTTCCCACTACCTGCCACCTTCCCTTCCCATCTCTTGGCTCTCTTTCCACCTCCCCAGCCCCCCTTTACGCGCTCCTCTCCGGCCCCGGCTGCCTCACCGGTTCACATCCCAGCAGCCAGCCCCTCCTTCCTTTGGATCCCCGGGCATCACCCTCCCTCGCCTCGGTCCCTGAAATTCAGCGGGCTTGTCTCCTGTCACTGCCTTTTGCCCATTTCTGTCTGGCCTTCATTCCCAACTATCGCTGTACCCCACCACTGTGGGGTTTTTGGGGAGGGGGTGGTGAGAGGGTAGGGAGAGGCTTACTAGATTCCCGTTTCCCCGACTTGGTCATTTCCCCCAGCTCCATGAGCCGCGCCCCCTAGTCCCCCGTAGGCCCGCGATCTTATCCCGCCGTTCCCCAGACCGTCTCGGTCTGCCAAGTTTGCCTCGACTTCCCCTAGCTGCAGCCCAAACCTCACGCCACCGCCCGGCTAGGGGAGCGCACTTACCCCGAGGCCCGGCTGGCGGGGGTGTGGGGTGCGCACGGACCCGCCGCGGCAGCAGGAGGAGGAGAACGACGGGCTGAGCGGCGCCTCCCTCCCAGCCCGCAGCGCGCACTGGCTCCTTGGGGGGTTCCCAGCAGATCACCAAGACAGGAGGAGAGGCAAAGACACGAGCAACAGCTGCTGCGCGGGCCTAGGCTCAATCCGACTCTCGGGGGTCGGGCAGAGGCAGTCAGGATTGGGAAGGAGGGTTGGAGAAGTAGGGTGCAGAGGGTGAGGCAGAGAGCGGCCAGGTCCCGAGGAAGGCACCCGGAGCAAGTAGGGATGCCACCGCGCGGATTCCGCCGCCTGGGTTAACGCCACCAGCCCCTCTCCCCAACCGGAGGGCGCTGCGGGCGCTGGCGCACGGGCCTCGCCTAGCTCCCCCGCTCGCTGCCGGCGCCCTCGGTGCGCCCCGCTTTGTGCTCCCCGCAGCCGGCGTGCACCTGGTGTAAGCAAAAGCGGTCAGCTGATGGGCTGCGCGCCGATTGGCTGCTCGGCGGTCTCCTCCCCTCCCGCCCGCCCCCTTTCCCGGCCTCCCCCTCCCGGCCTCCCGCCCTCGGCTCAGCCCGGTGCTGGGGCACCATCTGTAGCCCGCCCAACAAAGGCACAGCACCATGGGTCTCGGGTGGCCTGGCCGCCCTGCGCCGCCGCGACCGCCGCAGGGAGCAGTGGGCCGCCGCTTTTTGTTTAGGGGACGACAGGCTGCGGCTGGGTTATAGAGGCAAAGCATACCGCCGTTTCCCAGCAAAAGACATACCAAAAAAAAAAAAAAAAAAAAAAAAAGGACCTACCTAGGTACAAAGGGGCCCAATCTCTGCATAACATAGAACTTGGGCTCAGAGGCTAAAAATCACGCAAAAATCAACCCAAGAGAGAGCCAAGTTTCAGTATGAAATCTGACCTTTGTCTTAAAATGCATGGCGATTACTTGGAAAGCAGCTCTGCTCACCACTATACCACCAACGCAGCACTCATGGTGATCACTTGGGTTGTGTGTTTGCATATCTAGGTGGCTGTGGAACTGGCTCATGCCCTTGTGGGAAGTGGTATTTGCGGACATTTAAATGAATGGTGAAGCCACTTCTGATTTAGGGAGGCTTCAGAAAAAAACGATTGCAAAACTTTGTAATTACAGCTTTCCCATTTGTTAGGTGTGAAAGTGTGTTCAGACAACCGGAAGATTGGGAATGCAGTCTATTCAAAGTGGAGGGTGTCTGAGAGCAAAAGGTGGAAATGGGTTTTTGGAAACCGCCCATGAACCTGAATCTCAACTTCCAGTGACCAGTTTAGAAGCAGGCTGGAGAGAAGCCTTTGGTACTTTTCACTGGAATCTGCTAGACAATTATTAACCCCTCATTACTGAACAGCTTCAGGCAAGAGTGTGGTGACATTTCCTCACGATGTCCAAGCTTAGAATTTTTGGAGAATTTGGAAGGATACATTATTGCAGAATCATCTTTGGAATTCCTTGAAGACATAGTGTAAATTTAATAACAGTAATCTTCTATCTTGGTCTCTATAGTGTTTCTTTTTTTTTTAAATATTTTTATTTATTTTATTTGAGAGAGAGACAGTGAGAGAGAGCATGAGTGAGGAGAAGATCAGAGAGAGAAGCAGACTCCCCATGGAGCTGGGAGCCCGATGCGGGACTCGATCCCGGGACTCTGGGATCATGACCTGAGCCGAAGGCAGTCGTCCAACCAACTGAGCCACCCAGGCGTCCCTCTATAGTGTTTCTTGATGTCCTTCATAGATGTCTGATAAATACTGATGCTATTAATGTTCATCTCCTTTATGTTATCGTGGAACTATTGTGGAGATACCAGTGGGTCACAGCTCCAGGGAAAGGAGATGTTAGGGTTTAGAGTAGAAGGTTGGTGAAGAGTAGAACAGCTATGTAAAAAGGCCCCTTGCAACTGGGGTGGGAGGGTACCGCCTATAAATGAATAAGATTTAAGAACTTTCTAAGGGAGTGAAGTCTAGAAAATTTCCTAAGATTCATATTTTTGTCTCTTTTCTGCTTTCTTATACTGATTATAAGTTAGAGTTTGTTTGAAAGAAGGCAAGCCTCTGGTGAAAATACACAACTTGGATGATCAGGGAACGATAGAACACAGTTTTCTTAGGGAGCCTCCTTTAGGTTTTCCAGCCCGTGTTTCTGGGAATGGAGGGGAGTTGATGCCAGACACTGCATAGTGGGGCTTTACAGAGGTATGCCATCAGGGGCAGTTGAAGCAATTAATGGGGGGGGGATTATCTTTCTAGGAGGCAAGATTGTTAATAGCCTCCAGGTTTTGGAAGCGACTTCATGAGAATGGTATGAAGCCCAGCTAAGGAGAAACCAAATCAGGCACCAGTGGATGAGGCCAACATGCTTTAAATCTCAGCACCGCTATTTATGAAAGGTTTCCCTCTGGAGGAGGGTTAGGTTCCTTGGCTGTAAAGTGGGGTTAGTGACAGTACCCATCCCAAAGGGTTATGCTGATTGAGAAATATGCTTAGTGCAGTTCTTGGTATATAGTGAGTAATAAAGAAATGTAAGCAGTAGGTATTATTAGCCAGATAGTGAAGACTAAAGGCAAACATCAGGTCAGACAGATGGAATAATTAATGCACAAAACTGACACAGGTGACAGAATATTTTAAAGGCATTAGCACCACAAATGAGAGAAAAAAGGCTTGTCTCACAACTCTTCAATTCATTTCTTTTAAAGTCAGCATCTCATTTACTTATACTTATTCCCTTCTTCCCCAAGGCAAGAGTAAGAATGGAAGCTCTGCCTATTTCTACTTGACCAGTGCATTTATTTGGCTCCAGAGTATTATCATTATGAAGAAATGCATGTGTCAGAGATGAAGAGGGGGCTTGGGCAGAAGGATGGGGAATGTTTTGTGTTGGAAAGATTGCTGTGGGACGGAAGAGGACAAATGTATGCGTAGCAATTACAAAGGAATCTGAAATTTAGTCTAGTGATTGGAAATTTAATAAATTGCCTGAATGGTAACTGGTCCAAGTTTTAAAAACTGCCGGTTAGTGAATCTGTAAAAGGGTTTCAGGATTATTTTACCTATAGACACTTAGAAGCCCTTTGTCATTGGGGTGAATGAAGAGGAACGCCCAGTCAATGGACCAGGATAACTAAACCACACTTACTTGTTTCTCTTTTAGAAAACTATCTGAGGGACGCCTGGGTGGCTCAGTGGGTTAAAGCCTCTGCCTTCAGCTCAGGTCATGGTCCTGGGGTCCTGGGATTAAGCCCCGCATTGGGCTCTCTGCTTAGCAGGGAGCCTGCTTCTCCTACCCTCCCGCCCCCCACCCGCCCCCCGCCTGCCTCTCTGCCTGTTTATGATCTCTTTCAAGTAAATAAATAAAATCTTTAAAAACAATAAAAAAAGTCCATCTGAATTACTTCTAGTGAACTCACCCAGTCCTGGGGTCCTAAATCTATTAGTGGAAAAAGACTTTATCCTAATATTTATTTGGGGCATTGTAGAAGATCTTGGAAGTTTTGGAGGACAATGGAAATAGACAGCAGGGCCTATGAGTTCCCAAGAGAGCCGGATTTTACTGTTGATGTAAGGAGGAGTTCTTGCCCCTGGAGCTGGCCACGCTGAGACACTACAGATTCCTCTGGTTCCCCCAACATCTGCTTGAGGTTCTTTAGCTTTGGTTTGAAGAAACATTATAATTGGTATTAGCCTAACTGTACTGATCTCTGTGGTAAATGAGGGGGAAAAAAAGAAAAATGAAACTGTAGATGGTTGATCATATTAGAATAATCTTTAAAAGAACATCTGTATTTTGAGAATGAAATTATAATATGCCATTTAAAACGACAGTTTTTAAAAGTTGAAAATATGTCTCTCTCTAATTGAAATATTAATAGAGTGCTGGTAGTCAGTGTTCTTTACAGCCTCTGAATTAATATTGTAGTTTTAAAACAAACACCACCAAGTTCTTAGAGGATAATGACTTTACAGCTCATAATTATGTGACTGATGTGATTATTGTTAAATTTCATACCAAAAGTGTTTCTCTAAAAAATTTTTTTAAGATTTTTTTTTTTTTAAATTTTGAGAGAGAGAGAGAGAGAGAGGGCATGAGTGAGCAGGGGGAGGGGCAGAGGGAGAGACAGAATCCCAAGGAGACTCCGCACTGAGCTCAGAACCTGACTTGGGGCTTGATCCCTGGGCCATGAGATCATGACCTGAGCTGAAATCAGGAGTTGGATGCTTGACTGAGTCACTCAGGTGCCCCTGTTTCTCCAAAAAATTTTTGACAATTGAGTGGGTTCACAACTTATATGTAATTCCTATTCTTCCAGTTTTGTTCTGCATACTAAGTCATTCCAACACAAAATCATTCCAACAAAACACAAAATTGAGGTTTCTATAATTTATGTTAAGTCTTATAGTTTGGCATGGAACTAAGGTGACCAATTGTCTCAGTTTGGCTGGGACTGTTCAGGATTTAGTCCTCAAAGTCTCACATCTCAGGAAACCCCTCAGTCCAGGCAGACCAAGATGGTTCTTTGTCCTAAATGAAACTCACATTAGTAAGTGTATGGCACTGTTATAGTTTTAGTTGAATTATAACCTTGCAGATACAAGAACTAGGACGCCTGATGGGATCAAGTATCCTATTTTCACCTGCAGAACTTAATTGTTGCAGAGCATCTAATTTAACTTCCTTATTTTATAGATAAGGCAACTAAGCCGTAGATAAAGCCTACACTAAAAAGCAGGACTGTATATACTGTTTGAAGGCAGAGCCCAGAGCCAGATGGCTGACTCCTAATCCAGCATTCAGCATGTATTAAGTACTCATTAAACATTTTTGTATCACTGAATTGAGTAAATTAAATAAATGAATGTCTTTATGTAACTGAAGCACACATTATATCATAAGCATTTTCTTCATATCATTAAAAAAAGTCTTTGAAACTATAATGCTTAATGACTGTATAATTCCAGTCTTCCTTTGATGAGAAATAAGGGCCTTATCAGTTATTTGCTATGACATATTATAATAAAATACATGTTACAAATGCCCATTTTGGTTATTGAGTTATAGAAACGTATACAATAGTTTGGATTAGTAATTTAACATTGACTTTTTTTCCTATTTTTATTACTATTTACCTTTAGGCAGCCAGACTTTACTGAAAAATAAAAGGTCGCATAAGTTTTTTGCTTTTATATTGTAAATATTTTATTGATAATAGGATTTTAGAATCAAGTTTCTTTGTTTTCAGTTACTCGCTCTCCATTTTGATTTCTCTTTTT